CACCCACCAATATCGACCATATCACAAATTGGACTGGAACAGCTTCCGTCTGACTATTTGATCCTTTGACTGGGATGGCATTTTCCTTACAGACTGTCCAGATATCCCCGCTGATGAGTTCTACCAACATAGGACCTATTCCACTGACCTGTTTGCACCACTGCAATATAGAAAGCAGCCATTGCCTCATCATCAGAATCCCATTCCCAAAGCTGTTGTAATGCGTCTAAAACGCTTGCGTTTTAGGTTTAAGAAAATGAATGATACGTGTGCGATCATACAAACTGATAAAATTCTCAAGGACTTGCAAGACCGACATAAAAGAAAGCTTATGTCTCAAGAGGCACAAGCGCTAGCAGTTCCCAGCTGCAAACACATGTTACATCGCATAATAAGTTAGATACGAAGCACAACGTCATCAACCTATAACCATTGCATCATCAGACGACAGTCTCACTACCGACCCCGATGAGCTCTGTGAGTTATTTAATAAGTATTTCTACTCCTCGTTTAATACAAGCGCCTGTGCTGCACAAGGAAGATTGCCTCTACTCACCAGTGAAACAATAGATACAGTTGGGTTCAACCTGTATAGCACTAGCAGGCAAATAGCCGCACTAAAGCATTCTTTTCACCCTGGACCTGACAGCATACCACCAGCATTGTTTAAACTCGCCGAGTCCGATATTCTCCTGTTCCTGATAAACATATTCACTTTGTCAATTAAGACTGGTGTATACCCTGCTAGGTGGAAGCGGGCCACCGTCCAACCCCGACACAAAAGAGGGTCGCGTCACAAGTTATCAAACTACCGCCCCATTAGCCATACTTTCACATTGACCAGTAGTATGGAAAGAATAATCAAAGAAAGAGTCATGGAGTTGCTTAATTCACAAAATCTGATCGACAGATCACAATATGGATTCATCCGTGGTCGTGCATGTCAAACTTGCCAATTTGAATTGCTGGACTACCTAACCAAGTCGGCTGACTCCGGGCAGTCGATGGTTATGCTCTTCTTAGAGCTGGAAAAAGCATTCGATCGCGTACGCCATGCAGAACTTCTAACAAAGTTAGCCTCTTATGGGTTTGCTAACTCATTACTAGCATGGTTGTTATCTTTCTTGTCTACACGCACGCAATGTGTCAGAGTGGGAAACTGCGTATCTTCACTCATACCAGTAACCAGCGGCGTCATACAGGGAAGCAGTTTAGGCCCACTGCTATTCTTACGATACATAAATAACATTTTCCAAACCTTTCGACATGGTACACCCTTTCTGATTGCGGATGATATCAAAGTGGTGTTCGCTGTTGATAGCATAAAAGAACCAAACGGTGCTCAAACAGTACAGATGGAGCTCTTCGCCCTTCAGCAGTGATGTCGAGAGTGGAGAATGACATTCTCTGTTGGAAAATGTAACGCCTTATTCTTCAGATGCAACCTTATCATTGACCTACTGACGTTAGATGACACCAATTACCAGCTGTATAAAGATTCGTGACCTCGGAGTTCGCTACTCAAGCTCCATCAATTTCTCCGAACAGGTATGTCATGTCACCGCCAAAGCGAGATTTATCATAGCACGTATTTGCAATACGTTACGCTTGAAAGCCTCTAGGCATGCTATGTATAAGGCATATGAGCGCCGTCTTAGAATATCGTCCATTGGTATTCAAAGTTAAAAATGTACTACAAAATCAGTCTTAAAAAATACAACGTTCCTTTACCAAACGGTTTCTAAGGTTTGGATCCTTGACTTATCAAAAACGGTGTAAACTTCTGAAGCTAGAACAATTATGGTTGAGAAGAATTAAGCTTACCTTCCTGTTTGATTTAGCGCATACCAGTTCTGGGGAGCCAGATACTGCCCAGCTTGGCACTTTCCATCAATATCCAACTAGAAATACATCATCTAGCTTTTGCGTCCCTAAAGTACGTATAAGGTTGCGCACCAAATTCCTTCTCATAAGATATACAACGTTATGGAATAAGCTGCCCGAATCTATTAGATGCAACAACGTTGTGTGCATTTTAAGCTCGAATATTCAACCACCTCACGGTAGAGGAGGTATTATGTATACTGGGCTAATATACATCTTTAGAGAATATTCATGAGGCCCCATCGAATTTAAAAGGTCGAGCCTCACATCTACCGCATTCAAAATTCTGCTCGGCTTAGATTTCACCTCGTACATTAACTGCTGATTCTGCTTAGCAGTCTTTTTTATTTGCTTTTTTCTATGTTCAATGTTGTATTTGTCCCACTTAGGCTATCGGGTTGCCTAACGTTAGAAGCTTTCGGTTCGCTTGGTTTCAATGGCTCTCCTAACCGTTCTGTACTGGTTACTGATCACCTGATTTCCCTTTTTGCCTTGTCTTGATTTGAAAAAAGTTCGCCTCGGTGCTCCATATCATAACATTCCAGATAGTTGGTTAACTATTCCTCTGATGAGACAGTAAATGTGACCCAGGTCTCTTTCACTCCACTTCACCTCATAATTGCCCGCACCATATCTTGAGTTTTATCAGACTTAAACGCTCGCTATCTGCCAATGTCGACACTGACAGATTGGTAGAACGAGAAGCCAGATCTTCTTCTGTACATTATTATCAACTTTCGCTTCAATATTTCATATCCATTTAACTTGATCCGAAAGTTAACCGTGTGTGAGAGTGGCTCTGTCATCTTGGATAGCCGGACTTCCAGGATTTTCGACCGCCCCTACACTCTACCTTGTGCATCTTCATGAAATTCTCTTTCATCTGGCTTCATTTTCCACTATGCACCTGTTAAATCTCAGGCTGTGATGGGTGGACACCCGGCTCCTATTTTTTCACAGACCTGCTCTTTCACGCTTGAACTATTATTCGTACTGGCGTAATAAAAGTTAACATCGTTCAGAATAACCACAGAGGTGATGACTGGTGAAACACACAAGCCTTACTGTATGCCGTAATAATCCGGAGTATAGCGGCCATAAAGCTTTCTACTATAACTCAGGACCACATAAATTATTATGCTATACCACACTTTTTAGACTTCGTTTGACAATTTAGAAATTATGTTGCCATCAGCTAGGTCCCTTTATCTATTGTAACTGCGTCGTACTGAAATGTCATGTACCAAGTGACGCGCCTCTCACTCTCATTGTACTTAGCGTTAGAGATTGTTGCTATTAGATGCTTCGTTTCATTCTGAAGTATTTTTCACACTGGGTAACGCTTTCGGTATGCGTTCACATTTTTAGATGTCCCAAAACAACTACTAAGGAAATTACAAGTACGCTTGCAAATTTTAGGTATTCCTTGAAAACTTGTCTATATTTTTGGATTATTCTTAGCCAGGTACTTACGCCCTAGTTATTTTTACTGGTAATCAATTTATAGCCGTTCCTTACCTATATTGATACCATTGTTTAGTTTATTTCTTCTCTGAGTCCACTACGAACTGGGACTTCTGAACGTGTTTTATTCGATCGATAAAGTTGGGTTGTGCATCAACGAGAGTTTGAAAGAATGGCTCTGTAGCCGGTCAACGGGCGCCACGGTAACACGTTAATAGGTCGATCGGTTTTGCTCCCTGTTATCCTTACCTTACTACTCTACTCCGGTACTTTCCCTTCCCTCTTCCGTGCTTCCTCAGCCGCTTTCATTACATCGGTCTCTTACTAGGCGGTTGAGCATCCAACACAATCTACTGCACGGCACCCTGAACAACGTGCATGTGTGAAACTGCCATGGATAGAACACAATGCATATTCCTATCTAATATGTAGGGGGGACTAAATGAACAAATCTGTAAATATTTTGATCTTTCCCTATGTGGGAATAGTCTCTCGCATCGTCGAGATAAAGCAAACCGCTGCATCGTGAGGCACATCAGAAGTTTGGCCCCACAATGATTCATGCAAGACGTCCACTGATAGGAAGGATGGTTAACAACACCCAGCAGGTGAGCACTTTCTCCTTATTCCAAATGGTGCTGGAAAGAGCATCCATCGGTGGTTCGTCATCGTCCTTCATCCAGGACGCGAGAGCAGGTTCAGCTCGGAAGTGTTGCCGAAGAATAGCGTTGGGATTTACCTGAGAGCTACCACATACAGTCTGGAAAATGCACAAATCTTATATGTTGTTCGAAGGTATGACAAAATACAGCCAAATCTGTCTAAGGCAACCGCTCAAGTGACCGACAAAGGTGGTCGCCTTGGACAGATTCATGCATAGGGACATTGCCCATAAAACATTGGGGGTGTTTATGGCTGATCGCATGACAGGTTGGACTGTACATCTATGGCCATATTACACTGCAAGTTTTGATGGGTATGCACTTTTGTCTAAGATTTGCTTGGTGTAAGGTGAGAGAAAGGAAACCAATGAGTAAGGCCCTCTCATAGCGCCTAACGCAATCCCTAGTGTACGACGAATGGATCTAGTAATAGGTAAACACTACCCCTCATAATTGAGAGTTGAAAATGAGATCCATCGACAGGTTTCCATTATTCGACAATGATGCTAAAACTGAGTTTTTCCAACCGGCAACAATCGGCACGCATGGTGTGAGTGGCTCGAGAGACACCTGGAAAGTGCCAACGAGATAGCCTAATAAATCACAGAGGCACACAGACCATCGCGTCATGTTAAGATACAGTCTGTTCGCGATGGAATGGAAGGTGCCAGTAATACACTAACGCTCCCCTGCTGAGGCTGCGAGCGGCTTTACGTGGGCTGAGATACTGCAGGGGTACCTAGACACATGGGGGAACGTAACGAATATGTTAAAAGCCAAATACCCGAACCAGTACCTCCCGAATCCCCGATTCGTGCAACGAACGAACGTCGCAGTCGAATCGAGACTATTCAGAGCATAGTGCGTTGGGCCACTCTTCGCTGCTGTTGCAACGTTCGTCGATACATGCAAACAAGATAACCCAATACAAAATTACGCTCCGTCTCTATCATTGAAGCCGGAGATCTACGTATTATCGCGCGACTGACAGAAAGAATCACACAGTTGGCAGATGAAATAAAGAAAAATGCAGACGAAAATACACATGGGTGAGTGCAGTGAGACACTGTCATTGTCAGTGCTAGATTAAGCAAGCACAACAGTGGCAAACGCACCCCACTCCAGTGAACAAACAAGCAATCAGCCGTATGGCAATGCATATCTGCTGAAAGGGGAGCAAAAACCACATTTAAGTGGAGCTCTGGCCAAGTCGGTAGGTTTAAGTTAAAAACCGTACTGGAGACGTAAATCAAAGGAAACGAACCTGACATGGCTACACGGTTGAATGGCCACTAATGGAAGAGCGAGAATATTTATGGGAGATAATGCCACACAAATAAACAAAAGGTAGTTGGTTTCCGAGAGGAACGCGATACTACTGGTCGAACGTTTGTTTTCATCGGGATCGAGTGTGTTGTGAGAGCAAAAAGTAAGCGACACAGGATGCACACGGGAATTAAACCATCAAAAAGCAGCAGAAACTCGGTGAGTCGTGTTATCACAAGTACAAGTGTACAGAAAGATGAATCAGAGGGACGTATTTGGACAATAATTCTATGGGCCATAAACCCCAACATAAGCAGGACGGAGTGTTCTGTCGTGAAATCTGTAACCGATATTAGTCACGATGGCGACAGTGTTCGGCTGCTTTCCTTCCTGCAAAGGGGCTTGGAAGACGGCTTCGTGGATATTCGGATCGAACCGGTCACCCTCAGTAGGTTGAATACGGAAAAGCTTGTGACGTGCAAAGACCTGATGGGATAAATCAGTCATCAGTAGTTGAAAATTCGGAAACGGTCAATCTCATAAAACACACAACAAATGACTGTTTAGGTAAGTAGATCGTGAGTAATTTTAAGCTCGTAGCTATGCAACTCAAGAGTATGTGGAGATTTCGTAAAAGCGATCCACAAAGCACGACGCTTTCGAGCACCAGTTTCACATAAAACCCGTAAGTAAAGCTGGAGCGAATTGAGTGCCATTAAGGGGATAAACAAGTAGAGATTAGGCAGGCGTGATCCGAACTCCAACTGCTAAGGAAGGTTTCTGACAATTTGCAATCAAGAGTGTAGTTTATTTTACTGGTTCCAGGCAACTAAACGAATGAAATATCGACCAGACAACAGCAAATTCCTATGGACTTCGGTAGCAAAGAGAGAATCCAGAAGCCGTTTAAGAACGCTGAGTCATGTAGTACGAACAGAAAGGTGAACTGCGTAGTGTCCACATGAGAAATGCCAAAATGCGTGGCAGTGGGGTAATAATTTTATGACAAAGATCCTTAGTAAGACCTGGTTGCGCCAAAACATGTAAAAGCAATGGAGCCGTCGGCCGGCGGCCGAGTGATCGGCAAGCCTGGCTTGCAACCGTAAGGTCACCAGTTCGAATCGGCGTAGGGGCGGGCGTCCTCACGGCATACTCAGTTCAAGCGCGACTGATGGTGGTCGCGCGGCAGCGAAGCGCCGTTAAGGCGTACAGCTGATGACTATATTATATATATGAGAAAAAGGATTACAAAACGACGCATGGGACATTATGAGGAACAAAACGACAAAACTGTCATAGTAACAAGGCAGCAGTGCCTCAACATAATCGTATTCCAACGTGAGACAAGCGCAAGAGTAATAGAGTAGTATATCAGGAGACGACAAGACGGGAAATAGGTTCCTCACCATCCCCATCAACTGTGTTATATGCTCTGGTGCGCATAGGTCACAAAGCAAATAACTCAATAGAAAACGAATAGGTGTAAAAAGAACTGAGCTGAAAGCCAAGCACATCAAGTAAACATTTGGGGTCAAGGCGCCTACACACATCTCGAATACAGTATGGCCTGGTAAAGAGTGACAGATGATGAGACGGACTAAGGATCGCTGCTGTCTGTCTAGCGCGCACATCACGGCTACTTTAGGCAATGGGTCCATATTCCAGTTCAGAAGTTATGGTCTAAGCGCCCAACTCACTAACAAGAACCAGGGAGCCGTAGCAGTGACTTTTATCGAAATAGGTAAATGGAGGAGGGGACTTGTTTTAACTGAGTGTGAGATGAAATCTGCTGGGAAGTGCATCATAACATAGAATGAACAGTGTCTTTTGGCCTCGTGGTTGGGTAACTGTAATGGCCCTTCTAATCGAGTTGCGCGGGGCACACGGCTGCCTGGGATTCTGTCGAGCAGCGTCGCCCCAGCGCGTGGGACCAAGACGACTACTAGGTAAACATTCCTAGTGCGTATAGAAGTTGCGGATCCAGATAAATTAAAACGTGGGTGAGCTAATGGAACTTGCAGATGGTGATATCAGTAGCAGTCAAGCACGACGCGGGAATCCTGTAAATGGGTTTTGGTGAGACATGACACCCCGCTGGAAAGGGTTTCCAAAATATGATCAAGAGCTGCCTTATTCCCGGTCTGCAAAGAAATTCGAAAATTGAGCGTAGATAGATTGGGTGCAGTGCATTGTAGAGGTACTATAGGTGGGATGTGTTTTATCACAGTCGGCACCTAACATCTCAGGCAAGACCCTTCATCCAATTGCCACAGGTTGTTGGTATGAAGATGATCAGTTGTCCCGGGTAAAGACGGTCAACATTGGAGACCTAATCCGGAGTTTTAGGTAGTGCAGGGCACTCTGTAATGCGGTGGAGTGTACGAAGGATAATGAATATACAACTATGCCAACGATGTTATCTTAGGACATGTGGTTTCCACTATTGAGGCGTGTGCGATGCTTCAACATGAACATGGTGTGTTTGTGAGATGGTCATGATCTAGACTTATCGCCTCTAATGCTTCTCAAGGTAGTTAGCTGATAATTCCCTTTTCTGATGATGGAAAATTGATAGTTATAATAGTGAGTTACCCCCAACTAGCAATAAGCGATGAGACGGTACCAAGTGCATCCATAGTCAAATATCGTGGCTTTTATCTAAAAGCACATCTTAACGTAATAATACCTCCGGACGATTTCTAAACATTAGAGTCATGTTCTTACATTGTCGTACTTAAAATACATAAAAGTACAACTTCTAACTTCATGGATCCAGACATCTCCCCTCAAGTAGTCAGAATGCGCTCCGGGAAGTTTGAACGATTGTCAAAATCGCAACACCTTGATTGTGCGGTCGATAAGATATATCTCTATATGCATCAGCTTATCCAAGGGCTCCTTCGCTGATTTTGCCTTCACCAAGCACTGTGATGTGCACAACAGCATTTCGTGTCCCAACTGACCCATTTCATCAAATATGCCCGCCAGAAACGCGTTGTTTCTTCAAGGGGATTAATATAACGCCTTGTTTCTCCCATTGTTGTATTGCAAGACTACCTGCTATTTACTTGCCAATTAGAATCATGATACAGGATAGTTTGCTAGAGTGGCAATATCGCGTATTTTTCATTTTGCTTTGCAGCTTTGCAATTTGTATTTTTGGTTGATATCCCACATCTGCATGATGGCGTGTTTGTCGAGACTGCATCCAATCACATGAAAAATTTTTCCTGATTTCTGTTGTGAGCTTGTACAAACACAGTGGATAACGCGCGTTTCGAGTGAGACTGAATTGGTCAGAGTACCAAAATAGCCCATGTAAGGTAGTAGGAAGGTAAGTTTCATGGGGTATCGAAATCGCCGTAGTACTTGAAAACCGCTGGAAACTAGTCAGCTCACATGGCGTGAGCAACAGTCGTGTGTCAGATATGAAAATACAGATCCTAATGCAGAACTGTGAAGCGTGTTTGACAGAAAGTGAGAGAAGATGGGGGACTTAGAAGCATGCGAATAGCAGTAGATCGACAGATGTAGCCACGCAAGTAAGTGAAGCGAGCAGCTATTTTGTGAAAGTTTTATGGTAAAAATGTCAGACAACGCAGTACTTGGCGCTTGGTAGGTGACAGTCGTAATCTACGGTTGCCAATTTCTAGTCATTGTAATCGACATCGTCTGTACAGGAGTGGATTTCGAACATGTTGACACGAGCGCAACAATCACCAACATCGTGATGAAAGTGGATGTTAACGTGATGCGACGGTCTGCGTACCTCTTCAACCCATTGAGCTATACTGCGTGGTGCCCCTAGGTCTCTTGAGAACTACTCCCACCGGGTTAATCAATGGTTAAAGGTCAGACAAACTCAGTCTCCGGGTCCTCCAGGTTGGAGGTTGGAAATGAGATAGCGTTCATTTATGTAAAACCGAATTGCTGCCACCTCGCTGCACTGCCGATAGGCATTTAAGTCAAAGGTTTTGGTTGAGAATCCTAAGTTGGGGCGTTCTAACAGTAGCTCAACTTAAGTGCAACTATGACTATTGCACTGCAATTCAACCACATCCTGTATCGTCCGTCGCGCAGCTTATCAGGAGTCGCTTTGTCTGCTGCATACAACAGGGTGGATAAGCGAAAACATGTTACTGTTGGCGCCTCCTTTCTTTCTTTTCCACTTATGTCTCTTACTCTCTTCTTGACCTCCATTGCTAACCATCCTTCTAACTTTCGCAACTTAATTGACAACAGCTGCAGTCACTAGAGTCACACCACCCACTAAACGTCTATCGGTAACGACTCCTTATAAGGCCATGATGTCCCGTTTCCCTGGCGGCGTTCAACATTCGCACTCTGACAAATAAGTCAGCAGGCTGCACTCGCACGCACGTTGGACATCCTGGGTACTGATGTGTTGCGTGTCCGAAACTAGGATTAATGACTCTCACGGGGTTGTCGAACTAACTGCGCCGGACTTGTCTTCCCTTTGGTTAGAGAATTGCCTTCCCTTTATTGGTTGCACGCATCCGGAGACACCGATGCGGCAACCACTAGTCAAGCTGGAGAGGGCATCGTTCGGCTCCAGAGCTGAATCATTGTTGGTTGATTGGATTCCCGTGAGCAACCGTTTGTGTACAGCCTGTTTGATGAGTCCAACTAAGGTTGACCTACGAAGTGGTGCTAGATACTGTTTGTTTGTGGTCGCTGCTTATGCCCCCACCGACAGCAGTTCAGAAGTCGCCAAGGACACCTACCACGAACTGAATACGCTACTTCGCAGTGTTACCAGTTCGGATATGCTTGCTTTTTTAGGAGATATGAATACGCAGATAGGTCATCTGGGCTCTGTGGGAGCTCAGCTGGGTGGTAAGTCTGGGCTTAACTGCGATTGAACGGAGAACGACGAGAGTCCATTGCAGCAGTGTGTGAAGCACGGAATTTTCATCATCAACACAGTGGACACTTAGGTGCCACTTGGCGCTCCCTGTAGCTGACCAACGATGGATTCAAATAGATCACTTTGTCATGAGTTACAAGTGAGGTGGTTTCATGCTGACTTGTCGTTGATTCATGCCTTATGGCGCTGTCATTTCCGATGCACTTTACCAGGAGGTGTACCAAGCGCCTCTCACGATTGGCAACAGAGGAGTTATTTAAACGCGTAGTCAGATAAGCCTACCAGGATGCCCTGCGTACCGAACGTTTGCTCTCTCGTCCAAATGACACTGAGTTTCAATGGAATAGGAACTCGGCCGTCATGCACCACGCAGGAGTCTCTGCTTGAGGCAGCATCAATCTTTTCAGCACCAGTCGCTGGACATCCGAGAAGTCGGTGAATCTGTCGGAATCAAGAAGAAAACTCCTTGTTTGCTCTGAGCACAATGTAACCAAACGGACAATTAGGCGCGAAACAAAGCGGAGCCTGGAAATGAAGTTTGGTGGACCAGTAGGGCTCGAGAAATGGAGGTGGCGGGAGAAGTAGGCAAGTACCGCAA